CGTTAAAGAACGCAGTCATCATCTCGATGTTGTTTGATGAGCTTCTCTTCTTGTTGGGCTTTGGCTGCAGGCTCTATCGGCTAGTTCTGACACCTGCTTGCAACAATTTTCCCTTAAAGACAACCTGTTTGAAACAATAAGCTACTCCTCCGTCGTATCATAATATCAGCCTAAAATCTAAAAGGTGACTGATAGGCGCCGGCGCACCGGCGGAACGGTTCGGCCGGTCGCATTTGGCACGTTAGTTTACCTTTTTACCAACCGTCAAATCAGCCTTTTGCCTCGTTTTTTTCTCTCTAAAAAATCACATCCACTTGCTCGTCTGGACACCCGCCATGGAAGCTCTTAGGCCTGCCTTGAAGCATCACCAGCTCGCCGCCGGTCCCCGTCCTCGCCGTCCGTTGCCACACCGCCATGCCGTCGGCTGCAACTTTTTTCTCACGCCAATTGAAGCTTTTTCATGGTTGAAGCTTTTTCAGAAAACAGTTGAAGCTTTTTTCGTCGACTATTCCAGCTTTCGCGGTTTCGGCCGGTCCCCAAAATTCATCACCTTCGATTGAAGCTCCCTAGGACGCTGGTTGTAGCATTTTTTTTGTAATCTTTGCGGCTCCCTCCATGGCATTCACAGCCTCCTTTTTCTCTCTCTTTGAGAGGTTCCAGCATAAAAGATCGATTCAACAAAAAATTAGAAATAGTGGAGTAGCAAAAGCAAAGACGGTGGTAGCAAAAATCGAACACCGTTGTAGCAAAACTTGGAGTGGTTCCAACATAATAAGATGGATCCAACAAATATTAATATGATTGAAGCAAAAAAATCTCAACAAAAAAACTAGAGTAGTGTTCTTAAAGCAACAAAAAACAGATGGTTCCAGCAAAAATTAATATGATTGAAGCAAAAATATCTCAGTAAAAAAACTAGAGTAGTGTTCTTGAAGAAAAAGAACAGATGGTTCCAGCAAAAAAAGTGTGATTCCAGCACCTCTGATTAAGGTGGTCGTAGCTTTTTCCCTAGCCGGTTCCAGCACCTCGGAGTGTGGACGCAACCTTTTTCATGGCCGATTGCAGCTTCTTCAACAGTTGCAGGAAAAAAAGAGGGTTAAGGATGGGTGACGAAGGGGATGGAGTTCATCCATGGCTGCTGGAGAGAGAAGGGGATGGAGTTCATCCATGGCCGCTGAGGAGAGAAGGGGATCGAGTTCACCCATGGCTACTGGAGAGAGGAGGGGAAGGGGATGGAGTTCATCCATTGGTTTTTTGGTGGCTCTGCAGCTGCTCGCAGCAGCGTGCTCGGAGCTGTTCCGCGGCAGCAAACTCATAGCCGGTGGAGTGGGCAAGGCCATGGCTGCCGCGGGGGAAGAGAGACAGAGAGGATAGGCGAGATTGGGGAGGGAGAGAAACAGAGGAGGGAGAGGATAGATGAGTGTGTGGATGGATAAGAAGGGGAGGGTGGGCGGTGCGCGGGTCCCGCGGGACACGTCCTGGTGAGAGGAGCAGGGGCGTTCGATCTATTCCAGATACGTGCCGCGTGCGACCAATCTAATCTTCGGCCGGCGCACCGGCCATAAATGTTTCCCAATCTAAAAAGTGCATACACACTATTTGGGGAGAACGAGCGGCCGGCTCCTGGCCACTCGATCTCGCCCATATCATCATGCGTGCCTGGCCCTCGCCGCTACACGACAAGACCCACTGCGGTAGGAACGACCAACTCACTCCCGATTTTCCCCAACCTAGCTAGCTGCCGCTCCCGTGAAAATGAACAAAACTGACCCTTTTTCGTTAGTTAAACAAAAATGGCCTTAATCTAAAAATATTTCACAAAATGGCCCTCTTTTGCATGACGCCCGGGGCTAGGGCGTCGTGCTAAAGAGCATGACGCCCCGACCTAAGGCGTCATGGTTATGACATGTAGCATGCTGCCCTGGGCTAGGGTGTCATGCCAAATAGCATGACGCCCTAGTCCGGGGCGTCATGCTATCTAGCATGACGCCTTAGTCCGGGGCGTCATGCTATCTAGCATGACGCCATAAGCCCGGGCGTCATGCAAAAGGGTCACTTTATAAAATATTTTCAGAATAAGGCTATTTTGTGTTGAACTTTCGAAAAAGGGTCAGTTTTGTTCATTTCCACACCGCTCCCTCACCCTTCTCTCGTGCGCGCGACCATGGCTATCATGGCAGTCTAGTCGTTCCTGCCGCCGATACTCCGCATCTTCCGCTGATGCAAATCACTCCGCAGGTCGCCTCGGTCAAGGTTGGTCGTGCGGCCGCCCCTGGTCGAACGCCTGGCCGCCCCAAGTCGACCGGAACGCCGCGGCCTACAACGGACTGCTGTGCTGGTGGACCGGGTTGTAGCACGGGAAGAAGCGCAGCTCGACCGCTGGATTGCTTTGGCGGTGTTGGCCATGGAGGACGATGAAATCCCATGCTGGGCTGACCTTAATTTTTTGACGCTTCAGACCACGGTGGCGACCAGTAGCAGAGCTACACATTTTTTGTTGGGCGGGCCAAGCTGAAGGAATGCATTGTTTTTCTCCCACATGATCCAACTTTTGCCTTCATTATTCACTGTTTTGGCTGTGGATTGGGCGGGCCATGGCCATGTTTTGTTTCAACTAAGCTCCGCCTCTGGCGGCGACTAAGATGTGTGAGAAAGAAGGACATGCCGGTGAGCATGGCGCAGGCTGAGAATTGAGATGGGGTCGAACCCCCGGCAACCACGGCGGCAGGAGGAGTCACTGGCCGGCCGCGCAGGGTGTTGAACGCCATGGACGCAACAGTCATGACTCATGACACCATTATATGCGTGAATGCGTCAGTTTCATATCGTGCTTTGGAGCTTGGTAGAGATAAGAGAGAAAGGGGGGCTTGATTTCCTGATTACACGAACCTGCTAACGGCTTAGCATGCTGATCATCATTCATCAGAATGCCCAACTTACTACACTAGGTAGTTTCAGTTGATTACAATTCCTGCACGACCAAAAATACAAGTTGATCTATTGCACGACCAAAAATACAGTTGGTAGTTTCAGACGAAGCTAAGTTGACCAAATGCCTCTTTGTAAGTTTATCTATTGTTTACTATATTTTGTTGGTATTCATAGTATCCACAATCGTTATAGTTGCACGCACATAATAGTCCTTCGCATAGTCGCATATAAATTATCGCGGGAGGTTTTCACGTCCCGCCGCGAAGTTGCACACTTTTGTCGACACAGTCGCACATGCATGGCAACATAGTTGCACAATCTGGTCCGCATGGTCGCACATGAATTATCGTGGGAGGTTCTTACGCCCGGCTGCGGAGTTGCACAATCTCGCCGGCATAGTCGCACACGCATGGACAAAGAGTTGCACAATCTCATCCGAATAGTCGCACATGAATTGTCGTCGGAGGTGCTCACGCATGGCCGCGGAGTTGCACACTTTTGTCGGCCCAGTCGCACATGCATGGTCACAAAGTTGCACGATCTCGTCCACATAGTCGCACATAAATTGTCGTGGAAGGTGCTCACGCCCGGCCGCGGAGTTGCGCACTCTCGTCGATCTAGTCACACATGCATGGCTACAGAGTTGCACAATCTCGTGC